AAAACACCTAGAATGGTGTCTGACACATACTAAGCACACACAGTAATCTGTAATCTGATCCTCAAAACCAAGGAGAAAACAAACTTTAGAGATAAAAGGACTGACCAAGATATATGAATGAAGAACTTACAAATCTTTCACTTGTACTGTACCTATTTTAAAAAGATTTTTAATAGATTTTTAGGGAAAGGGAGAAACATCGATGTGAGAGTGAAACACTGGCTGCCTCCTGCATGCCCCTGGGGATTCAGTCTGAAAACTGGGACACGTGCCCTGATGGGAATTGACCCCACTACCCTTCCGTACATGGGACCATGCCCAACCGAGCCACACGACCAGGACACACTTGTGTTGTACCTTTATGTCCCATCCATTTCTATCAAAGCCAGAATTCATATTTGAACTTTGTTACTGAACCTGAGGTAAGCTTAAAAGACCAGATTTAAAGACTGGTAGTAACCTAGACAAATAAAATTGAAGAACAGAAGTGAATTACAGTGAAAGCAGACAAATTAAACCTCTACCTTCTTTCTCTACTGCCAATCTGCCTCTAAATTACCTTTTCCTCCTCCAGAACAAAGTCCTTACCTCTCTATTTCCTCTGCCATAACCTTATTGGAGATCAGTCCTCCTGCCTTTCGGCTGGACTCCTTGCATCCATGCATGTTCAACTTCCAATATAAACTTCCTAAAACATCACTCATTATCTTACACTCCACTGTTTAAAAACATACTACACCTTACTACTTACACATGAAGTCCACATTATGGTTTTCAATGACTTTCATATATTGGTTGCATCCTAAACCCACTTTCTACCATTTGCCAACACCTCATGAGAAAGGTCGTTTTATGAGCAATTATAGAGGCTACTCTTGTGCAAATTACTAGCTGGAATGTGTCTCTCCTCTTATTTAATATACTGGTATGGCCCAGCACCTCCACTTCCTATAAATGCATTTTTATACAAACAAGTGTGTACAAATATTCAAGATTAGAAACAGAACATTAACATGATCTCAGATACCTTTTACATACCAATTTGCAATGCATTCCTCCTTCCCTCTAATAATCCCTTGTCTTACCACTTTATATCTTAGAAAATGTTACTTTTACATTAACTTCTTTTACAAATTGACTTAATAATATGTATTGTTACCTGCTTTTAGAAACTGATTTCAACATGAATCAAACCTACATTTCGCTACAATATACTGTTACAGTACATATATGTACTTATCTATTCTGCAACTGATGAACATTTAAGGTTGTTTCTAATTTCTTGCCTTAGCAAGAATGCTATGAAAATTTCTTGGTGCCTCATGTTTGTGTGAAACTGCCTCCTCCATGGTGCCTTTCCAGAATACCAGAGCCTGTACAAGGATACAGTTAAGCATTAAAATTGTTCTCACGTTTCACACCTCACAGCAAGAATATTTTAAGTACAAATGTTTGTATTTATTTGATATTGCTGTTCCTTTCCCAACCACTGCCTGCTCTAACGCTCAACTTTAAAATTTCACATTTGGGATAGGGTCTTCTCCTGTGAGTTAATATACCAAAGGAAGATGTTTAATCCCCACAAAGGGGGAGGCATACAAATCACCTTGAAAAATCACAAAGTTCTTCATTAGCAAACTATGATACTGCAAATCAAAGAGCCTATTTCAAACCCTATTATCAACTGATTTCTTTCCATACCTGCTGCATTTATTGCTTGCCCACTATGACATCTACCATAGATGGTCTTTATTTTCCTCTATGCTCTCCTTTTCCAGCAGTATATCCAATAGCAATGTCTGGGAAGAACGACACCCAGCCCCCATCCTGGGCACCCTTCTTTGTTTTTCTACTAATTAAATTCTGTTATACGATATGTTAAAAAAAAAGAAAAGAGAGAGAGAGAGAGAGATGTACCAAAAACCACAGGTTAATTGGGACTCTAGATCAAGAGTGTCAGACATAAGCCCTTTAAAAAACATCCCAGAAAAAAAGCATGTATTTTATATAAATTAGGCTTTAAACTTTAGAGTAGCTTTTAAAAAAATTTTATTGACCCTGTGAAAAGGCCCACTACATAGCTAAAAATTAAAAGAGCAAAGCTACTGTCTACAACCCTTCCACCCCAGCCTGAAAGAACTTAGTATTGTCTACCCAAAGCCAGTCAAGTATACTCAGAACACATCACAAGTGTGGGACACAAAGCAATTCTGACTAAATGAGGCATATAAAAATGAAGTACTTTTATTTTACTTATTTATTTTTAAAAATTGATTTTAGATAGGGAGGAAGGGAGAAAGGGAGAGAGATGGATCCACTGCCACTCCCGTAGGTGCCCTGATGGCAATGGAACCCACGACATCCTGACACACAGGATGACACTCGAACCGAGCCAGAAGGGCCAGGGCCAAAACAAAGTACTTTTTAACTAAAAGAACATCTAATAAACCATTATCCAATTCTTTGGTTTTGCTCATAACATAATTAATGGCTACAGTTCACATTGTAAACTAGTTAGCATTAGTCCCAGTAATAGCAAACTTAATATTTTAAAATGAGAATGTCTTTAGATTCCAATGTTTGTCTACACATGATAACCAGAGTATCTTACACAACAAACACTATTACTTTTGTCACTTTTGAAAACTACACCTCAGACTAAGGAAGGTGTCTCACTTCTGGCAATTACCCTAAAAAATACATGAGGATCCTAAAAAACAAAACACCACAAAATTCTGGTCTTTTAAGCAGTTCTAACATTTACAAAAAATGTTTCCTTTCACCCCTCATTACAAAAGTAAATATAATTTCTTGTGGGTATTTCAGAAAAACATAAGGAAATGCAAATCACCCATAACACCTATCCAGAGCTAATATTCTGGACATATTTCTATTTTTTGTTTCACACATTCCTTTAAACAACAACGAAATATTAAATTTGGCACCAGTAGAATTTTATTACATTTTCTTTCTTTCCAATTAATACTATATTACATTATCATTTCCACATCATTACTCTCTTAAACAGTTTTAAATAGCTGTACAGACTTCCATTTGATGGCCACACTATAATTAGCAGATCTCCAAATGTTCAATCTCTGGGATTTTTAATATGCTTAATAACTGCGATTAACATTCATGTACATAAATCTATTACCTCCCTTGGGCTTTAATCTTCTATAAAATTAGCGATCGGAACATTTTATTTCTAAAATTATGTAATACATTTCCTTTGCATTCCTCAGTTGTTCAAATTTGTTTTATCATAAACTGATTTGTAGTATTTAGCGTTTACACTTCCCTAAAAGCATTAGTAAAATTAGTGTTTTAATACTCCTTTAACATACGAAATTCAAATTAAGGGTGGTTAAATCCTACCGAATTAGTTCAAAATGTTAGGTAAAAGCAAAACCACTTACACATAGCTGATAAGGGAGATATGTAAAGATAATTAAGAGAAAAATTCCTCTCTGGGTGAAGTATACGCTAATGTTTTAAATATATGTTAAATGCAAAGTAAGAAATGGAAATTTAAAAAATTTAATGCACTTCAACACAAACATCTTCTGGCTAAAGATCGATTTTCCAAATGTTACATAACCAGCTAGAAAAATCTTCATGTAGTACTTCAATTATGTTTAATTTCGGGTTTGAAAAAAACCGTTTTTAGTTATGTGGAAAGGCACACCATAGAGCTTTTTTGCATCAAAAATCTGCCTTCCCCGCCTTTTTGATGACTAAAACAATACTAATGTTGAAAAAATTATGTCAATAGACTGCATAGATGACTAACCATTGAGTTTTTAAAAGGAAATTTTATTCTGAACATTTAATCCTCATGTTATTTTTGCCGGAGAGTACAACTGTTTGTATTAACCTGGGAGAAAACCATGTCTATTTAAAAATATTAAACCAAGCTCTGTTCAACAAGCAAAACGCAGCATCAATACAAAATCTCATGACTACGACCTGGGAAATCAACGACTCCCACATTCATTACTCCAGCGCGCTTGATAAAGACTAGAAATTTAAGAATCGCCGTAACCGTTCTAGAAATATTTAGCTGGAAAACTGTAACTCATCCAATAGGAATATTCCACAGAACAGTATAAACACCTAGAAAACATTCCTCCACGGTAAATGGGGAAAATCCCCGTAGAGCGAGCATCGCACAGCGCTAGCAGCAATGAAAAGAACAGCGATGCGACTACACCACGGTACTCCAAACCCTTTGTCTGGAAACCGGAAGGTCCCACACCACACGATCCTCTCCAGGGAACCTAGACTGATAATATTTTAATAAAAGGAAAAGGAATGTGAGGCGAGCCTCTAAACCAGAACAAATCTCCTGCCTCGCAGTGTACTGCCGATGGCTTTATCCACGACGCAATGCAAAAAACAAGCGTTAACGTTTCATTTTTCGGCCATTTTTAAGCGCCTGGGGGTGGGGACGAATTGTTTCCGAGGTCCGGCTAAAATAGCGCGCGCATGTGTGTGGGCGGGGGACAGAGGAATCTTAGGGGGCGCTACGAAGTGATGGGCGAGGAGCAGAGCGAAGGCCGTGACACCAAGAAAGCGACGCTGCTCAAACCGCCAAGCCTTTCAATCTGCGAAATCCTCCATTTTAGTGCACACTTCCAGGCGCAAGAGGAAAAAAAAATAAAGCAAACATGTGGAATTGGCGCTATCCAAGGACTTCCCTCGCTTAACTGTCCTCCCCAAACGGCAGGCCCCCTATGGACAGTCGGTCCCTCAGGCCTCTAGTGCTCCTCCCTTCTCAGCGCTGCAGCTCGCGTGTAACGGGCTCGTCGTCCCGCCCCCGCCCACAGAAAGCCCAGGGCGCGGGAAGCTCGGACTCCCCCCCCCCCCCCCCGACTCTCTCACCGCACCCCGGGCCCATGGCTGGCTGCGTATGTCCTTCCGGGACCGCTCACCTCAGCCGCCCGAGGAGGCTGGTTGCGCCGCCACTGCGC